TGTTAAAGGCTTGAGAAGTCTATCTCCCATCTCCAGATGGTTTTTAAGAATTTGTACTTGATGGGGTGCTGAGGGACAGTAACTTGGCTGTTTGGAGTAGTAAGGCAAAAGCAGTATCTTTGTCCTCTCTGAGTACCATGATATTATGGGTTTTTTTGTTGTATAGATGATATTTTGGGGAATACAAACTGTAGGAAAATGTCTGGCCAAAAATTTTGGCAAATCAACATCCCCAGAGACTATATTTTGCTACCCTTGAATCATAGCCCTGTCAGTTTTATTAAGGTTTAAGTGACTCAGATATTTAACCATATTAAATTTGGATTTTTAAATTATACAATTGGAGAGATTTGTTAAGTCACTTCCAGTACAGCTGAAGCTATTTTATCACTGTTTATTGCTTGCTGATTACCTCTGTGTTAACATACCCAAACAGTATTACAGCAAGGTAGTAATACAATTTTTAGATTGACTCTTTTACCCGCATTGTAAAGTCATTTACAGAAAATGGTTAGTTTCCTTGTTCTTTGCATTCACCAACATCCTTTGATAATCTGGTATAAATTTGTTTTGATATACTATTTATTTATGAAAGTAACTATTCTCCTTTTGTTTTATGTAGCTTTGAGGAGTCTGTGGTCTCAGCTGTCATTGTGTGCAGTCTGTCTACTTTGTGCATCTTTTTCTCATCCGGTGTTACATCAATTTAACAAAATGTTATGTAAATATACACATACCTATATAAATATCTATGATACTTTTATTTTCATGTTTGGGTTGGTTTTTTTTTGTGTGGCACTACAAATATCAAGTTTGTTTGAAGTTAAATATTCATTAATGTCTTAAATTTATATACAATGTGTCGAAAATACATGACAATTTCAGGTGAAAACAATTTTTCTTATGTTTTTCTTATGGAGTGTAGACTTAATAAAGGTATATGAGAGTTATCCATTTGGAGAGCCTTGCGGAACACTGATGAAGTACTTGCATTAGATTTCAGTGCTGAAGACATTTGAAAGCTATGAACAGGCATAACATCTTTGACCTTGACTGGACTTTGGCCTTCTCTGTCAGGTGCAAAGACTCAGTTCTATAGGAACAGTTTGCTCACTCTTTTGTTACATTCTATTTTTATTGCTGCCATCATTCTCCATTCAAACAGGAGTTGTATCTTGAACTTAATGAATGGTTATAACAGGATTGACTGAAAGCAGCTAGAAGGGTGTATGCATACCATTAAAATTGTGCTATTCAGCTGTTCTTTCTCTTCTTCTTCATTTACCTTCCTCAGTTTCTGAATAGAGAATGTACTTAGGCAAGCTTGTAGGAACGCACAAACACATCTGCATCTTCCAAATGAAAAGTGAAACTTGCATTTAGTGGGTTGCATAATTACAAGGATATAAAACGTACATGAAAATCTGTACTAATTTCTCTGTCATCTTAGTATGTCCCAGTTTAATTATTACTTACAGCCTGTTTCAGAGGCTCATATTTGTTCCAGTGTTTGAGATCCAGCACAGTTTTATTTTAGAGACACAGTATAGTAAGGAATTCTTCCTTATGAATATTATTTTGAAATGTTAATGTTTTTATGAAATAGAAATGTTTGTACTGGGTCTGTGGTGTTTTGTACCTTCTGTGTTTTCACCCCTTAAATCTCATTATATGACAGCTGAAGATAGTATCACCTTAAAATACTGTTTTCCTTAGAAGAAACTGGCACAGCTGAGGTCAAGGGAAGTTGACAGGAGTCTTTTGTATCTGCAAACATAACCTGTTCTAGTGAGCACTACTGAGAAACTTCTTTCTTTGTGGCACATTAGGATTTCCTCTGCTGGCAGGTAAATATATGATCAAGTATCTATTCCGCAATGACATCTCAAAGTTTTTTAAAAACTCCATGATTAAATAAAATTATCTCCTATGAAAATTCTAAGATCAAATTTTAATTGCTAACTTGGTGTTCTTCTATTCTCATCTTTAAATTGAATTGTTTTTCTTTAATTGCCTTTCTGGATATAGAATTCTTTTTGAAATGTGTGAAGATGACAGGTAAAAAGGGAGGACAAAAGACCACTTTTTTCATCAGATTTTGAAATTTTCTTTTTAAATGAAATTTTCATACACTGCCAGTTTGACATGTATTTGGGATATACTGAGAATTAAAATACTAGCTCTGTTTTTAATTTATTCTTTTCTTTGGAAATCCACACAGCATTTGAGAGATATTATTTGATATATGTATTATTTGAGAGGTTTAATATAATTTGATATTATATTATCTCTTTCTCAGTCAAGCTGGCTGCTACTCCTCTGTGTTCTGGGTGTTCTAAATATGTGGGCCTCTTCATAAACTGATGTAGCACTTCCGTGATAGGACTGATAGCAGTTACAGGCTAATCACAAGAATCAAATGCACTTGAGCCTTTTTGTACGCTAAAAGTTTGACCCTTCGTACCAAATAGTACATTCGCTAAATACAAACCAGCACTCCTTTGGTAATGCATACCTACACACATACATACTGTGGCTTTCCAGTATCAATTCATGTATCTAGTAATTGAAGTTTGTAGAATGAGAAAAGGTAAAAGAAAATGTATGTGCTCATGTTACATACATTGAATTCACTGAGTGTTTCTTTAGCTTAATTCAACACTGTGTTTTGTCTTTAATAGTATGGCATTGCAGGAAGGTAATTATGGTGGCTTCATCTTGGCCAGCTACCAGACCCTCACCCAGCTGCTCTCTCACTTTTCCTCCTTAATAAGACAAGGAGAGAATATAAGACGAAAATATTAATGAGTTAATATAAAGACAGGCAGATCCCTTACCAATTACCAGCACTGGCAGGCTTAAGTGGGGAAAAATAATTCATTGCTAGGTAAAAGCAGAGTAGGATAGCAAGAGACAAAATCCTTGCCCTGTTCCCCTCTTCCCATGCTCAACATCTCTCCTTTATTCCCAGCTCCTCTGTTTTCTCCCCCAGGAATGGCACAGTGGATATGAGGAATAGGAGTCTGTCCATGACAGTTCCTCTGTGCTGCTCCTTCGTCCTGACACTCTAGCTCTAGTGTGGGTCATCTCCTTGGTCTGTAGCCCTTCAGGATAAACCTGCTCCAACATGGGTCCTCTCCAGGCATTAGTTTTTGGAAGGAGAATCTGCTCCAGTATGGGCTCTCTGTAGGTGTCAGTTACTCAGGAAATATCCACCTTGCTTTGGTGTGGGGTACTCCATGGTCTGCAGTGTAGGTATCTGCTCCAGCATGGTCCTCTCCATGGGCTTCAGAGAGGTACCTTCTTCACTATAGTCCTCTCCATGGGCTGCAGGGAAATCTCTGTAGTGGTGCCTGAACCACCTCCTCCCCCTCTGCTCTGACCTTCGCATTTCCTCACGCATTTTTCTCTCAGTTCTCACTGCCTAGGCAGCATTTTGCACTTTCTTAAATATGCTTTTGCAGAAGCACCACCAGCTTCACTGATGAGCTCAGCTGTCTCCTGGAGTAGGACAGCGCTGTCCTCTTCTCGCAGATACTAGCCCTGCAGCTTCTGCAGTACCAAAGCTTTGTCACCCAATACAGGCAGCTTTGACACCCAGTACAGTCACATGGAGGGGAAGAATGTAAAGAAATGAAAAACAGGTCCACAAATGCAGGAATCTGTTTTGTTTCTTACCGTGGTTAACTTTCTTATTTCTTTTAGTATGAACTCAACTACAGTAAATTTTATTTGTAGTTATCACTTCTAGACAAATGACCGGAGCAGTTTTCTGAAAGACACACTGAATATATTGGAAGGACAATGTAGAGGGTGTTTTTGATCTCTAAAAAATATATACAGAGAGATCAGGCTTACATATTTAAACTCTTGCAAGATGGAAAGGGACAAAGAGCAGTGTAGATGAGTAATTGTTATTTTTGGCTGTATATATGTTGAAGATAGTTCTGTTACATTGAGAAATGCATTGTTTGTGTACTATTCCTTCTCACCCATTAGTTTTGAATAATCTAATTTTAAACATCCTGACAGAGTATTTTTATTTCCTCTTGCCTTTTTACTGAACGGCCTTGTCGAGATTCGAACTATAGTTGAAGTGATAAGAAACTATTCTCCTGTCACTGAAATTGTTTCTTCTTTGTCATTATGAGTTATGTTCCTTTTTGTTTAGTATTTGCAACTTCTTGCTTACCACTATACTCTACTAGTGACAAATACTGTTTTATTTATTTAGTAAGTAATAAGGAACATCATTTACTGAACAGTGTGAAATGTTTCAGTACTTTTGTTGCTGCATGGCAAATCAAAGGCCTTTGTGAAAGAACCAACATGTGCATTTGATTTTCAAATACGGCCAGAGTAGATGTCCTCTGGTGGCCTGGGCTACTTGCATGTTTACTGGCCTTTGTTTTTCAGTTTTTCACCATGAGATAACTTTTTTAGGCTTTGTGCAGTTTCTTGTGTAGTTTTGCATCCTACATTTATCTGTATTGGTGCCTGACGCTTGAAAAAAGCTGGCATTATGATACCCAAGCTGATGCATGGGTGTGGGCAAGGGCAGGCTTAATGTTGCATCATAGAAAGTATTTTCAGCTTGTAATTTAGATATCCATTCTACAAACACTTTCACACTTTCTTAAATTTTTCTCAATTTTATGAACATAGAGTAAGTAATTGATTTTGAAGGAAAAAGCTTAATTGTTTCAGAGTTTCGTTTTATCAAAAATGACAATTAAAGAAAATATGAAGAATTCTTAGTAAATAGTATGTGAAAATTCAGTTTCATGTTTAGTTTTTAAAATAGTGCATGAAAAATTCTTTTTGTCTTAATATTATGTTTCCCTTCATTGTGATGTAGTAATGTTGTTTTCTGAAATGGCATGTTTATTTTTATTTTTAGTGATCATTGGCAGCTCTGAAAACTATGATATTTTAAAATAGCATTATTAAAGGCTTTTTTAATGACATACTAAACTTAACTTTGTATTTTATTATTTCAGTTGTTCATGGTGGACAATGGAGCAGATGACTGGAGAATAGCCATGACTTACGAGCGTATTTTCTTTATCTGCTTGGAAATACTGGTGTGTGCTATACATCCCATACCTGGGAACTATACATTTACATGGACAGCCCGGCTTGCCTTTTCTTATGCTCCATCTACAACAACAGCTGATGTGGATATTATTTTGTCTATACCAATGTTCTTAAGACTGTATCTTATTGCCAGAGTTATGCTTTTGCACAGCAAACTCTTCACTGATGCCTCATCTAGAAGCATTGGAGCATTAAATAAGATAAACTTCAATACCCGTTTTGTTATGAAGACTCTCATGACAATATGTCCAGGAACTGTACTGTTGGTTTTTAGTATCTCATTATGGATAATTGCTGCATGGACTGTCCGAGCTTGTGAAAGGTAAGGTTGCTGTGTTTGTTTAGTTCTATCTTTCTGTTTTCTCTCTTGTTTTTACTCTTCAGTTTTGGAGTCAGGGGACCTAAATACTTAATGGAACAGAACTTCTAGATCCTTGATATTATGAATGTTGATTCTGTCACATATTGTCAGGAATGCTTTGCCTGTTGATCTGAAGGACTTCAGCAGAGAGGTTTGTGCCATGCTGTTTACTGTAGCATTGCAATTTGGTATCAGTGTTTTGGTATAACTTTAGGCATGCTTGCTAAAACACAGTGGATGGATAGCATAAAATGTCTTTAAAAGTAGTTGTTGATATTCTGCATTGATACTAGCTTTAATTTATTATGTTTGTAAGTTAAATTTATTGAGGATAAGGTAGATAAAATAGCCATGTAAAACTCCAGTGGAATATGAGGGGTTTTTACGTTGTTGATTTTTGTTTGTTTGTTTTTTCTAATTTGAGTTTGTAAAAAAAAAAAAGGGTGAAGTACTCTTGGGGAGTTGGCAAGATCAAGAAAAGGGAACATGCGGAACAATTACAGTAATACAACTTTTTTCTTCTACTAAAAATCAGAACAAGTGCATTTGAGAGGCAGATTTTCATTAATTTCAGGTAGTTTTCCTACCCTCTCTCCTACAGACTTCAGTGGAGCTGAAGTGCTAACAGTTGCTAACAGCTTGAAATTTGATTTCTGAAACATAGCTTTAACAAAAAAGAAACAAGCTTCTGATTGGATGGGATTGCTTAGGAACCTGAGATAGGACAATTAGAATGATTCTTTATGAAAGATTTAGTGCCTGGGACAACTGTTAGATCTGGAGTGAATTTCTTCTTACATGAGGTGGAACATCTTCAACTTACTGCAGTGTCCTGGGAATAGGAAGGGAGAGTTGGAAGCACCCCATTTCATAGTGAGGAAGGTAACATGAAAGAGCATCGTTATCCATGCCTCTGTTTAAAATCTTACAGAGACAGCTTATGGCTTGAGGCAGGCGAGTTGACTATTTGAATAAAGACTTCATTGTTTTAATGGTCATCTGACTGATCGCTTGATAGGCATTGAGCTGAGGCAGGACGTGTCTTTCTCAGTGCCTTAATGGCTGTACTGTGAGCTCTCAGAATGCTAATTATAGCAAGTGGGTTGGTGAGCAAGGTAGTTTCCAGGACTGCAGTTTAAGGTCATCCATGAGGGCAGAATGTAGTTCAGATAATGATGGTGGACAGCCAAATGAGTATAAACGGGTTGGAAGGGCTTCAGAGTAACCTGGCTGAGGGAGTTTGGGAGTAAAAGGTGGGAAAGTATGAGTTGTTGCTGTGCACACAATGCCAGAAACTGTTCCTGTTTTACTGCTCAGGTTTCTATGTTTGTTTAGAGGGGAAGATTAATTTACATAGGTTTTAATACCTGCCTTTTCATTAGTGGTATCAGTGTATTGCTCTCTGTCATATGTGGGCTTCATAATGAAAATCAAAGTTTTTATTGGATCTAATTCCATAGGTGTTTGTGTTTATAACATTTTCAAGGCACACTGTCTAGAGCACTTATGAATATGTTACTTTCATGTATGAATTACGAGCCCTGTATGCAGATTACTTTTTGCAGTTTCCCATACTGATCTTGTTACTGAGGTAGCTCTGTGCAAGGTTGTCAGTTGTTTATAGCTGTTAAAATAGAAATATTTGGCTTATAAAAAAGAAAAAAAGTAGAGCATTATGTCATTGAAAAGTGATAAATTTGCTTTGCTTTTCTAGAGAAGAGCTGTCTCTACTGTGAGAAGCATGCTGCTTTTCTAGGTTATGTAGAAGGTAGTCTCTTGCTCATCTTTTATTTTTTTCTGTGCAAAGGAAGAAAGTACCTTGCCTTCTGAATGCACAACATGGGTTTAACGTGCTCTTGTCATGTGTTTGGAGTTACTGTGGATTTACAGCAGCAGAACTGGGAAGAGAAATTGATTTTCTGCTTCCTCAGTACATTTTTAGCACCATTTTTTGTACCACTGTTTGTACCACTCTCTAAGTTCTGGCAATGAAGTCAGTTTAGACTGAGCAGTTCATTTAGGCATCCTTTCTTCTGCCCATCAGCTTGTGATATGTATTCTTTCCTTGTTTTAACAAAACCAAAACGAACCAACAAAAAAAAACACTAAACACATACACACAAATCCATCTGTGTGTGAACGTGAAATCCTTTTCTGCTGTCTGCGCATTCTTGTTTTCTACAAATAAGTAAACACCTGTCTTAATTCTTGGAAATACTATTCCCTCACAAAACTTCCAGTAAGCAGCTCACACATGAAGACGGCTAGGAAAATGTTAAGTATTTATTTGGTAGAAGAAGGTGGATGCATCTGCGTGTAATTCAGTTGTAATTCATGCAGGAGAAAAAAAAGTTTCTTAGCTAATCGGGTTTCCTCGCAGTATGCGTTTAGATTCTTTGCTTGGCTTGAGGACCTTATCTTAGACTGTACACTGTATGTGTAATCCCAAGGCCACACTTCACTACATTGGAAATTGCCTTAACAGTTTCTGCAGTGCCAGTATGCATGTTTTTACTGGTAGTTAAAAAAAAACAGCAAAGAAAACCAAGACAAAACAAAAAAAAACAAACCAAACAAAACAAAAAAACCAAAACCAACCAACCAAACCAAGTCTGAGTATTTAGTTTAAATCCATTTTTAGCCCCCAAATGCTGAAGCAATGGTGTCTTTTTTTTTTTTTTTTCCTAGCCAGTATGTTTAATTACTGTCAGCAGATCAAAAATTTTTATGTATTGATAATGCTGGCTGTTTATCACAGTTTCTTGCCCTCTCTTGGCACCCTGGATCTAAAGTGTAATACTGGCAGTCATGTTTCTCTAGTGGCGGCAGATGTTAACTGTTAAATATTCAATGCAGGAGTGATCAAAGATGACCCATCATCTTGACTTGAAGCTGTGCTATGAATGAATTCTTTTCTGCCTTCTAGCCTTAATTCCTGGTTTTGCAGACTGAGTATAGATTAACAGTAAATGTTAAGCTATTCTTTTGTAATACTTATCTCTCAAAGCTACTCATAACTAAAAACTGATGTAGTTGGTTGTATTTTCATTGCAAATGCTACTGACAGACAACAGATCTACTGTTTTATCAGACAATGAAGGCAATAAGGCAGTCTGTCGCAGAAGTACATCAGAGAATGTCTTATATGCATAAACCAAATCCAAAAAAGAGCAATTGATCCAAATGAGAAATAGGTTTCCTAAGTGTATTTGGAAACACTAATATTTAAGTGATGGGGTTTTCAGCTGTTTGAAAACAGTTTATGTACATTTAATAGAGGAAGCAGAGGCACTTATTCTAATGTGTGTAGAACTTGATTTCTTCTAAATTCAGATTTTCCTTCTCTTTAGAACAATGTTGTTTGTGTGTTCTCAGCAAAAGAATTTTGGGAATACACGTAAGAACATATTTTTCAGCTTGTTTGGATTTATAGAATTAGCCTTATAGATATGGAAAGTAATAATAACTGGTGCGGTAATGGGTATAGTCATCCCCTCACAAGAATTTGTCAAGCCAAGATAGACTGGTCCAAAAATAGTAGACCCAACTTGGGGGAAGGAAGTGCAAAAGACAAAAAGTTGAAAACAAGCACAAAAAACTCTCCTTGCTTACTTAAAAAATACCTTCTTTTTTAGGGTCATTTAACTAGAGCAGGAAAAGTTTTGTGTAGGTTAAATTCCCTTTTATTTACAGAGGATTTATACATACAACAGTTGTATGAGAACACAGAGGAGTGGAAAAGCTCATGTGTAGTTCCAGTGTCTCGTAAGAATGGTGAGCAAAGTGAAGACTGTTTCTCTAAATTCAAAAGTCTGAAGAGAATACCTACAAAGGAGGACTTATCTGCATTCAGAGACAAAATGCCTTTTTTTTTTTTCCTTCTCTTTCCTATTAATCTTGAATGTGTAAAACTTAATTCAGGCAACAGTCTTTCTTCTGTTCAGCAAAAATGGTTGTACACGGTCCAAATTCTTTCAGATCAGAGAGCAATTTATGGATTTTTTTAATTATCTCATTACTGGATACAAAGACACATCCTGTGGTCTTTGCATTTTTAAATGCAGTAGTTCATTTTTTTCCTCCCCATTTTAACCAACACCTTAAACTATTCAGAGTATTTTGCTGCTAGAGGAATCAAAACTATTTGCCATAATTTCTTAAAAACAGTCCTTAGAAAATGTGATCATACTGAAGCAGAAATCAATTTCTTATCACTACAAAATAAAATTTCTTGCTCCAGTAGCTTAACACACTTGAAAAATGCACCTTGAAATGGGGGTTTAGGCTATACTATTGGTTTTCTTTTGCTTCTTGGCCTGGGTATCAGGCCACAGTGAGGAGTTTGGGTTATGGTTGTTGCCTCAGTGCTAATGAATGGATGACATGGCTGACTAAACTCTGACCTTATACATTAAAGAATTTCTTTTATTGAGAATTTATAAATCAGTTCTAAAAATTCAAGTCTTCAAGGTCAATTATACGGGATAATGTGAGGGGAACTGCACAGTTTAAAGAAGTGGTTATATGGAGGGAAAAATTAGAAGGTTCTTTTTAAATATTTTACATGTTCTTTATTTTCCTTTTCTGTACTCCTTCCCCTTGCTGTCGCAATACCTGTAGGTTTTGGGTTTGTTTTTGTTTTTTCCTTAGGTAGTTTTTTGCCTTAGGAGGTTCAAAATCAGCTATAGTTTTCGCTGCAGTTGTTCTTTAGATGGTATGTGATTTGTAACATATTGGCTGTAAGTATTGTAGAGACATCACAGTAGTGGCCAGTGTATGCTTACAACTTCTGCTTAATGATGTAACTGTGCTCTTACAACTTCTGCTTAGTGATGTAACTGTGCAGTGTCCCAATATAGTTACCACATACATGGATTGCCCAGCTTGCCAGACAAATCTTTACTGTTGGTAGTTCCTGTAGCTTTACATGCTTGCAACTTACTTTAGTTTTTACTGGGTAA